CTCTTTTCTTGTTGATTTTCTTGTGGGAGAAGACTGAGGCGAAGTATGAGTTGAGCCTCTCTGCCTTTTCCTTGTCATCTGTTATCACTCTGCCATCCACTGTAAGTAGCTGGACACCTTTTTCTTTCACATGTATTTTGTTCTGGATGTATCTGAAGAAGGCTTCCCTGTTGTTCTTAGCCTCCCTTGCTATTCTCAGTTCATTTCCTGCTTTAGCCTTCCTGACACCATCCCTGCAATTTCTTGCTATTTGCTTATATTCTTCCTTTGTTGCCTGGCCTTGCTTCCACCTGCTGTACATGATCTTTTTTTTCTTTCAGGCTGTCACTTAACTTTTTGTGGAGCCATGGGCTTCCTCTCTTGTCTTCTACACTTCTTTCCTGTTGGAATTGTTTGTAGTTATGCTTGGAGAATCTTCATTTTCAAGATTTCCCACCCCTCTTGGACTTCTGCCTCTCTTGCCATGGCATCATTGTTCTTAGTCTGTTTAATTTGGCTTTCTTGAAGTCCAGGGTATGGCTGCAGTTAGCCTTTGTCTCCTTTATAATTGAAAATATCACAAGGTCACCTTCCCCCAGAGTTCCTGTGGCTGCGATTTGATCCACCAGGCCATCCCTGTTAGTATTCATTCGAGAATTGCTGATCCTCTTGTTCCTTCCTCTACCTTCTGCTGGAGGAAGTGGTTGGCAACGCATCTCAGGAAACTCTTGGAGAGCTCATGTTGGGCAGAAATGGTCTGCCAGCATATATTGGGGAGATTAAAGTCCCCCGTGATGACTGCTTCATTCTTTATCATATTCTTTATTCTTTATTGATTGCATTTGTATGCCACCCCATAGCTCAAGGGCCTTCTGGACAGCTCACATAGCACACACAGGTCAACAATATAGCAACAAATAAAACAATACCAGCGAGAAACCACATACACTCATGCTAATTGTGAAATAGTGCTCAGGGATAATGAATCTGTTCAGCAATTCTGAATTTAGAGTCCAGATTGTCACTCCTGTATTTGTCCTTTTCTCCAAGGACTGGCAGTTTTATTAAGATACTTATCTCTTATTTTCCAGCCCCTCTTTGACTAGTTTTTGGCTCAAAACACCAATCAAAACAATCTCTCTGCAGCCGGGTGGTAGCCATGCTGTGTGGGGATGAGTTGTAGTTTGCTCTTTTGATGAGTGATGGGATGGGGAAGGTTGAATTAAAGCATCAGTGGTTGCAAAGCAATAAAGATCCAAAGCATAACAGAATGAAATTCAGTAGAGACAAATGCCAAGTTCTGCACCCAGGAAAAAGAAACCAAATGTAACATGACATGATGAGGGTTATTTGGCTCAACAATACTGCAAGTGAGAAGGATTTTGGAATGGTTATAGATCACAAACTGAATATGAGTCAACAATGCGATGAAGCACTGGAACTCTGGAAGCATTCAAGATGCAACTGGACAGCCATCTGAGAGGCGTGGTTCAGTTTGGAGTCCTGCAGGGGGTTCAACCGATGGTCTCTGACCTTTCAAACTCTACTACTCTATTATTCTGTGGAACAAAAAGCCGCTGCACTTCTAAAGGGAGGCGAGAAGTAACCTAACGCAAAGCCATAATGAAAAGGAAGGGTTTTGCAACTTATTGATATATCTACAGAAAGGGGCTCCCTGGGACAAGGTGTTCCAGAATGAAAACCCAGACCCTTAATGGGAGCAGAATACAAAGCAGGAGCTCTGATGACCCCTTTAACAAGTGGTGGAGGTAAACACATGTGAAGGAAAGTTGTCCTTCTAATAGGCTGATCAGAAAAGTTTCTTAGATGCAAAAGGACAGTGTTGTTGTTGCTGTTAGTTACAAAGTCGTGTCCGACCCATCACAACCCCATGGACAACATTCCTCCAGGCCTTCCTGTCCTCCACCATCTCCCGGAGTCCACTTAAGCTCGCACCCGCTGCTTCAGTGACTCCATCCAGCCACCTCATCCTCTCCCGTCCCCTTCTTCTTTTTCCATCTATTGTTCCCAGCATCAGTCCTTCCTTCCTATTAGGTGGCCAGAGTATTTGAGTTTCATCTTCAGTATCTGGCCTTCTAAAGGGCAGTCACGGCTGATCTCTAGCACTGACCGGGTTGAATGCCTTGCGGTCCAAGGGATTCACAGGAGTCTCCTCCAGCACCACAATTCAAAGACCTCAATCCTTTGGCACTCAGCCTTCCTTTTGGTCCAGCTTTCACAGCCATACATTGCAACTGGGAAAACCATAGCCTTGACTATACGGACTTTTGTCGGCAGGGTGATGTCTCTGCTTTTTAGTATGCTGTCTAGATTTGCCATAGCTTCCCTCCCAGGGAGCAAGCATCTTTTAATTTCTTGGCTGCAGTCCCCTTCTGCGGTGATCTTGGAGCCCAGGAAAATATGGAAAATAGGAAAAAAACAGACAGTGTATATGCTCCCAAAACCATGTTCTACACCAAGGGTAGGATTGGGCTACCCTTTAGATGTTGTGGATCACAACTCCCATCTGCTCCAGTCAGCATGACCCAATGGTAGAAGTTTGGTGAGAGTTGTCCAAAACTGGAGGGCCCAGCTGTGTGTCCTTGCTTTAAGCATTGCCCAGTGGCATAATTTTGCACCCTCTGAATTTCCTGGGTACCATTCACTTTTCAGTTTCCAGACACTTAAGCTAAGTTCAGCATCTCACCTGGCTTGTGTGGCAGGTACCCATTCTGCCTTTTCCAGAAAGGCTGTGCAGCAGCCCCTTCTGGCTGTATGCAGTCTCTCTGCGGCTGACTGGGTGCCCGGCTGGGTCCAGGAGCAGCCCCAAAGGCTGGACCGGGCTCTGCAAGGCAGCACAGTGCAGTGCTGCCACCTGCCCCTGCTTCCTGCACGTTTGCGTGCCCAGGGGGGTTTCCTGTCCTCAGGACTGAAAGCTGTTTGGTTTTAGAAAGACAGAAACAGAGCGAGTCAGAAGGGGCCTCCCGGGCCATCTAGTCTGACCCCCGGCTCCAGCCGGCTCCGCTCACGACATGCCCTCCATGTGGACGTCCAGCCTGTCCCTGGTGCGGCCTCACCGATGGGGCCTCAACCACCTCCCGTGGAAGCCCATTCCACACCCGCGGGGTCCTGACTGTCAGGAAGCGCTTCCTGGCACCCAAACGGAACCTTGGCTCCCTGAGCTTGGCTCCATTGGAGCGCGTCCTGCCTTCCTCTGCAGGGGAGAACAGGTCTCTACCCTCTCCGTGTGACACCCCCTCACACACCTGTATGTGGCCAACATATCCCCTCTGAGTCTCCTCCAGGCTGAAGAGACCCAGTTCCCTCAGTCTCGCCTCATACCCCATCCCCTGCGAACTGATCACCAACCTTCTGGCCCTGTGCTGCACTGACTCTAACCTGGCTATATCCTTTCTGTAATGAGGGGCCCAAAACTGAACACAATACTCCAGTTGTGGGCGCACCAGAGTTGTATAGAGTGGCAGTAATTCCTCTCTTGATCTAGAAGCCACGCTTCTGGCTATGCAACCAAGGGTGGCATTCGCCCTCTTGACCACCGCATCACACGGCTGACTCATGTTCAGCCTGCAGTCGACCAGCACCCCGAGGTCCCTTTTACAAGTGCTGCTCTCCAGCCACTTGTCCCCTAACCTGCACTTATGACACCTATTCCTATGCCCCAAGTGCAAGACCTTGCACTTATCCACATTGAACGCCATCCTGTTGTCTCCTGCCCACTTCCATAGTCTGTCCAGATCCTTTTGGATCTGGAGTACCTGCTCCTCTGTTGAGGCCACTGCTCCAGTTTTAGTATCATCTGCGAATTTGATCAGCAGACTGTTCACCCCTTCTTCCATGTCCTTGATGAAAAGATTAAATGGGATCGGCCCCAGGGCAGAGCCCTAGGGGACCCCACTTGTCACTGGCCGCCATCCAGATGATTCCCCACTAATGGTTACCCTCTGCTTTCGGTCAGTCAGTCATGCCCTAATCCACCGGACAGTGCTTTGGTGTATCCCAAAACTCCTCAGTTTCTCCACCAGGATATCATGGGGCAATTTGTCAAAGGCCTTGCTGAAATCCAGGCATACTACATCCACTGCATCCCCTCCATCTAGCCATCTCGAAACCTTGTCATAGAATTCCACAAGGTTTGTCTGGCAGGACCTGTTTTTGCGGAAGCCGTGTTGTGTGACTGCCAGCCTCCCTTCCCTATCTAGCATCACTAGATCTCTATTATGAGCCTTTCCATTGTTTTCCCTACAATGGACGTAAGGCTAACCGGTCTATAATTCCCCATGTCCCTTCTACTACCCTTTTTGAAAATTGGGACCACTGATGCCACCCTCCAGTCCTCTGGAACTTCACCTGTTCTCCACAAGGCCTCAAAAATAGAGAACAGCGGGCATGAGAGAACCCCTGCCAACTCTCTAGTACTCTCGGGTGTAACCCATCAGGGCCTGGCGCCTTTGTAATGTCCCATGTTATTGTTTATTTCGTTTCTTTGCTGCCCCATAGCTGAAGCTCCCTGGCTGAAAGGGCTCCCACAGGTACCGCTTCTCCTCACAGCACAGCAAGCTGCACCAGGCAGCACTCCTCCTCCTCTGTGGAGGAGAGGCACATAAGAACTGTGGGACAGGGTCAGTGCATGGAATGGGTCAGCAAGGTGGTGTGGCACAGCAGCTGGAGTGCTGGGCTTGCAACTCAAGAGCCAGGCCCCCAGCCCCATTTGGCCATGAAATGGACTGGGTGGCTGTGGCCAGTCACTCACCCACAGTCAGGCTTACCTAACCGGTCAGGATGAGACTAGGACAGAAGCATCATGAGAGCCACTTCGGCTTCCCTACAGAAAAACAGGCGGGCTGTACGTACATACAGTAAATCCAGGAGGTAAAGCCTAGCGCCATGTTCCGTGTGGAGCAGTTGGCACATGCAGCTCACACGCAGCCCAGCTGGTTTACTTGGTAATGCAGAATGAGAGGTGAATATCTTTAATTGTTTTGTTTACTTGTGTTCTGCAGAGGAGCAAAATGTTGATGAGATATCGGATTGCTAGTGACTGAGAAGAACAAGGGTCCAGCCTTCAAGATGAGAACCAACAAGGTCTACAAGCTTGTCATACACAAGAAGGGCTTTGGAAGCAGCGGTCAGTAGCCTTGCTGGAGGTGGCCAGTGGGGGCAGCCTCCGTCTGAGCATCCCTGTGGTGAGGGAAGGACACCCTCCCTCAGTGCTGTCTTTCCGTGCCACGAGTCAGTCTTGCCAGATTCCAGCCCTGGCAGGATGCTCGTGACACCCGGGTGTTGGTAAATCACCGCTGATGTGATCAGGGCCGTGCTGCCTGCTGCGTGCGTTCCCTTGAAGGAACTCTCACTGTGTTCACTGGGGTCTCCCGTCTAGGAGGCGTGCTTAAGATTACAGTGTTGGCTGTCTTTCCAGTGTGCCAGTCTTGCTACCCCTGCATGGCGGGAGGGTGTGGAATGAGGCTGAGACAGGGCGGCCTGCCCAGTCACCGGGCTGCTGAGGCAGGATTTGCAGCTGGGCTCCCTGCTGACACCCTCGGCTGCTCTGCTGTGCTGCATTTCAAAGGTCCCTTGATCGTGGCTGTGTCCTTCCTTCCCTTGGCAAACGCTTCCAGGCCTCTTCTGACTGCTGAGCGTCAACCGTCAGCATCATGTCTGAGACACCAGCTGGAGACTGTCCTTTTATCAAAACAAATTCCTGGCAATCTGGAGGTGCCCTAAACTGCAGAACAGCCCCTGTGATGGTTTCCCTGCAGATCTGTAGCTACTCTTCATTTGTGTCCTTTCAGATGACGAACTGGTGGTGAATCCCAAAGTGTTTCTGCAGATCAAGCTGGGAGATATTGTGGAAATTGCACACCCCAATGATGAGTACAGGTGACTCTCATGGTGTTTGGACTAAAATTGCTCTACAAAGCAACTTGAGGGCAGGGTGCACGGCAGCAGGCCATTTTTATAAGCACCCCTAAATAATTGTCACTCTGTGTTTTTGATCAAGCCCTCTAGATGTACAAAATCATAAAGCAGGGTTTGCAAAGGAGGGTTGTATCCTGTTTATTTGGTCCCATATCTTGGCTGTTCTTGTCATGCTTAGTCTGGCATTGGAACAGGAAGTTCCAGCACCACTTGGTAGGGTGGTATGTTTGCTTTGGCAGGTGGGACAGAGAGCGAGGTCTACTTGACCGCATCCAGACTGGGCTGGTTAACCAGAGACTGGTGGATTCACTCATCATGCTAACTTGCTCTGGCAATAAGCTATGGTGGGTTGTGAGGGCAATCCATGGTGTGGTGTCAGTAGACCATTTGTAAATTGGCATGACAATTCACCATGGATAAAACAACCCAAGAACAAGCCATAGGTTATGGTAATTTGCTGCCCAAGAACAGGTTAGGGAACAAGTGGCTGGAGAGCAGCACTTGTGAAAGAGACCTCGGGGTGCTGGTTGACTGCAGGCTAAACATGAGCCAGCAGTGTGATGCGGTGGTCAAGAGGGCGAATGCCACCCTTGGTTGCATAGCCAGAAGTGTGGCTTCTAGATCGAGAGAGGTATTACTACCACTCTATACGACTCTGGTGCGCCCGTAACTGGAGTATTGTGCTCAGTTTTGGGCCCCTCATTACAGAAAGGATATAGCCAGGTTGGAGTCAGTGCAGCGTAGGGCCACAAGGTTGGTGGCCGGTTTGCAGGGGAAGCCGCATGAGGCAAGACTGAGGGAACTGGGTCTCTTCAGCCTGGAGAAGAGGAGACTCAGAGGGGATCTGTTGGCGACATACAGGTATGTGAGGGGATGTCAGAGGAGGTGGGGAGAGCAGCATGCATCCCAGTGGAGCAAAGCTCAGGGAACAAAGGTTCAATTTGGATGCCAGGAAGTCCTTCTTGACAGTTAGGACCCCGAGGGTCTGGAATGGGCTTCCACGGGAGGTGGCTGAGGCCCCATCGGTGGGGGTGTTCAAGGATAGGCTGGACATGCTCATGGTAGACATGTCATGAGTGGAGCCAGCTGGAGCCCTGTGTCACCCTAGATGGTCTGGGAGGCCCCTTCTGACTCGCTCTGTTTCGGTGTTTCTATGAACAAGCCACCTTGTGAGAAACTGTCCAGGTTTGCACAATGCAACAACCCCCCACTGTGGTTTATCACCTATGGTGTGCCCCTGTGTTGTGCAAATCAAGCTAGTTTAGGATCTGCTTTGACACTTCTGTTGGGTGGGCTGGGTGCAGGTGTTCAAAGTTTCTGATCACCACCTGGATCGAAATACTTAAGTTCCTCCAAGTGCACAGCAGAAGCCCAGGTCACACAATAGTTTTGCCTCTTCTGTTTCAGTCCTCTGCTTCTGCAAGTGAAGTCACTGAAGGAAGATTTACAGAAGGGTAAGTGGGAACCTGAAGCCAGGACTTGGTCTTGGCTTATGCTTCCTGGCTTGTTTGGAGAGGCAAAACTGAACTCCCCAGGTAGATGCAATGCCAGGCCTTTCCCTGCTGTCAGCTTACCCTGGGGATAATGAACCATCCAGACAGGCCCGGCTTCCTTCCAAAGCCTCCACAGCCTCCTCACTGGAGGCAGCGGGGGAATCCCTCTGACGTGCGATTGGCTCCCGTGGCACACCACTTCCCTCCTCACAGGCCTCCTGTGAGGCCAGGTGCTGCGTGCGCGCTGGACTGGTGCAGGAGAGTGCGTTGCTCCCCCTTTGCCGTTCCCGCGCAGAAGGAGCAGAGCCGCTTGCATGCTTGCTTGGCACTTTCAGGGTTGCGGTGCGGGTCTGAGTAAGCTTCTGCCTGATCAGCGCTTGTGCGTTTAATGCTGTGTGTGGGTTTGGATACTTCTTAATAACTGCCATCAGTTGTCAGTCGTGTTGGCTCCCTGTGGCCAGCAGGGACAGGCTGGACATCCTCTCTGGCGATCCACTGTGATGTCTGTGCCAGGGTTGCTCCGCTGGAAAGGTCTCCTGCCTTGTACCCGGCGTTTCTTTCCTTTCACAGAAACCATAAGCGTCGATCAGACAGTGGCCCAGGTGTTCCGACTGCGACCCTACCAGGACGTCCACGTGAACGTTGTTGACCCAAAGGTATTTCTGGCACGGCAGGGCTCTGGTAGGAGGCTTTCCCCTTTGGCTCGGTGCTCCACACGTGAGGGATGTCACCCCGCCTGCCTGGTCGAAGGGTGCGTGAGGGCGGGTGAATGCATCTTGGCCGGAGGCCTCCAGTGTGGGGTCTGCTGCCGAAGCAGAGGCAGCGGAGAGTCAGGCAGCAGTTGCCCTACGCTGCCTTCTCCTAGGGCGGCCTGCCAGGAAAGCAGGCGCCCTCCCTAGCTTGCCATGCGCTGTAGGGATGGGGGCACCTGCTCACTGGGAGGCCACTGCTCGGGCCCCAGCGGCAGATGCCTCTGCCTTCATCTCCCCATCCTGCCCCGCTGACTTTCAGGAGGTTACCCTTGATTTAGTGGAGCTGACATTCAAGGACCAGTACATCGGGCGAGGGGACATGTGGCGGCTGAAGAAGAGCTTGGTGAGGAAGCAGCTTCTGACAGTCCTCGTCTGTCCCGGCGTTGGGTGGGCCACAGGGTTGTCCTGAGGGCTCGGCATGCGGCTGTGCGCTTGGGCCTGGGCCTGGGCCAGTCAGCCAGGGATGGAATCTGGCCTTGGAAGGGGAAGGCACGCCTGGACCCACGGCTGCGCGGTTGGTTTGCGTAGGGCTTTGGGCTTGGGGTGCCGGAGATACTGGCAGGGGACTAGGCTGGAATGGGGCCTTGCGCAGGTGGGGGCTGCTGGGGCAGGTGGGCAAGCGAGTGAGCAAGCGCTGCCCATGCAACCGGCTGAGCCATGCCAGCAGCCCTGGTTTCTGGACCTTCTGCAGAGGTGGTCTTTGCTCTTTTCATGAGCAGAGCCAGCTGGACCCGGGGTCAGACTAGATGGCCTGGGAGGATCCTTCTGACTTGCACTGTTTCTATGCTTTTATTTCTCTAATTTCAACCATGAGCACTAGAAATGTGCTTATTCCCTGAATTGTTCAGGGTAGGGGGTGTGAAGCACTGTTAAATCTCTTGTGAATTCTAACTATGTTGAGTACTAATTACAATGTTCCCTTTCTTTACAAACCAAATAGGTTGGCACATGTGCTTATATCACACAAAAAGTAGAATTTGCAGGTATCCGGTGAGTATCCAGCTCCCTTCCCCAGATACTTTTCCACCTGCCATACAAGACGCCCCTAGAGCCAATGTCTGGCTGCATGACGCATTATGATTGGCTTAGAGCAGTCTGAGCAGGGCCAATCACATTTTCGCTGGCCTTGGTAGCCAGGCCAGAGTGAAGATTGCAAGGGCTGCTCTGCTCCCCTCCATGCGGCCCGAAGTCGGGAGTAAAGCCAGGTCTGCTGAGTGGATTGCGCTGCCAGCCTGTGCTGAGGGTGGCAGCCCTGGCGCTGGCCTCTGCGGCTGGGCTCTCCTGTCCTCCGGTTCTCGGCATGGGCAGCTTGCAGGTGAGAGGCTGCCGTTGGCAGGCTGCCTCCCTGAGTTCCAGGCAGGGGCTCGGAAAATGGCAGTTCTAATGGGTCTGCAGAGCAAATCTCCATTTTATTGTGGTGGCGGCCCTGCTAGTGGCACATTGCGGTCCCTTTCCCTGCGGCAAGGACAGGACTGAGAGAGCAAGAGAAGGTGGAGCCACAGAGAGGAGACCCCTAAAGGCCTAGATCGGGGTCTTCAAACTTTTTGAACAGGGGGGCAGTTGACAGGTGTCAGTGGTGGGCGCGGGCCACCAAGGTGGTGCTGGCAGGGGGTGCGGGCTGGCGGGGTGCATACCTGTGCGCGCGAGGCAAGGTAAAGCGGGGATGGGGGGCACGTGGGGTGAGGTGCCAGCTTGCTCACGAGGAGATCATTTTCTCCAAGTGAGTCCAGAACAACCCAGCGAGTGCAAAACCTGAGGGGTGGGCCGGTTAAAAGGGCATGGCGGGCCGGATCCAGCCTGCGGACCTTAGTTTGAGGACCCATGGCCTAGATAAAGGGAAACTCTTGCCAAGTGCCACATAGTCATACGTTTCCATGAATCGCTCAGAAGGGTCCCAGTGTGGGGCGTCTGAGAATTAGCGTGTGGGTTGGCCCGTTGCCTGTGGTGGGAGAGATCCCCTGTTGCCTCTCGCTGCTCCTGTTGTTTGCGTGGTGTTGCTGCAGCGGCTGTGCAGCTGCTCTTGCCCTTGAGTGCCCTTCTCCGAGGAGTCCGCCTTCAGCATGAGGCCTTGTGGGCCAGGAGGACCCCTCGGAGTGAAGCATCATCTGTGCCCGGCATGCGCTCCGGAGAGCTGCAGGGCTGCTTTCCTGCTGGGGCATTTGCCAAGCACTGGAACTCATCCGAGCAGCTCTCTGGAGTGCTGTCCTCCCTGCTTCTTCCTCAGAGCAAGGCGACGGGCAGGCTGCAGCTTGTGGTGCCCTGAGGCGGTCAGCCACTGCCCCCACCCACACCGATCCCCCAGTGTGGGCAGCCGTGCTGTTTGGCCTCCCAGGGTGCATGAGGGTGAGCGGGATCGGTTGGTGGCGGTGTTTGTCTGCCCCTTGAGGCCTCATCCTGTTTCATGGGAGGGCCTGGCCTGATAACTGGCAAACTGAATTACACGGTTGAATATTCAGGCATATGGCTAATGCGTAGCTTGCTGAATTTTGTTTGTGTCTGATCAATTAAATATTCATGGGCAGAAAAAACTGGTATTAGCCTGCTGGGAATTCTCCCTTCCTTCACTGGGCAGGAGTCAGACCTGCTGCTGCTGCTGCCTCACCCTCTGGCCAGGAGCCCTTCTGCTTCCTCGTGAGGTTTGAGCTCAAGAGCGGCCTTTCCCTCTGTAAGGGTGCAGACCCGATTGTGTTGCTCCGCCCTGGAGCCGGATGGTTCCAGACGGATTCCTGAAGGCCCTGGGCAAATTTCCGGCTGACAAGACTGAGGCTTCTGTAGATGCTCTGGTCAAACTATGCAATGGGGAAATGACCAGGGCTGTGGACACGATCGCTCCTAAGCGTCCTCTCCCACCGGGCAGAGCCCACTCTTTCCCTTGGTATACACCTGAATTGCGGGCGATGAAGCGGGTTGGGAGACGTCTAGAGCGTAGGTAGAGGAAATCACGGGATGAATCTGACCGAACACACTTGAGAGCACATTGTTGGGCCTATGCTGTGGTGGTGAGGGCGACGAAAAAGAAATTCTTCTCCACTTCCATTGCCTCCTCCGGCGTCCGGCGGAGCTTTTTCGGGTGGTACAAGGGCTGGTTCATCCTGGCCCCAAGAAAGACCCTGTACAGCCCTCAACGGCCCACTGTGACGACTTTGCCAAGCATTTTAAGGAGAAAATTGCTCAGATTCGTCATGAGCTGGACTCCACTAGTGACTCAGAGCCTTCAGGGGAGGAACCAATGTTGCCGTCTGGTCCAAAATTGATGGATGAGGTTCAGTTGTTGCAGCCTGATGATGTGGACAAGGTGCTTGGACAAGTACGTCCCACCACCTACCTTTTGGACCCTTGCCCATCTTGGCTACTTAACAACGCCAAGCACAGGATAGGGACCTGAATCCTGGAGGTTGTCAACGCCTCTCTGAGAGATGGCTGGGTACCTGCCCCTTTAAAGGAGGCAGTAGTCCGACCAGTCCTAAAGAAGGCATCCCTGGATCCAGAGATGGCCACCAATTATAGACTGGTGGCCAACATCCCGTTCTTGGGCAAGGTGTTGGAGCGGGTGGTGGCGGGACAACCCCAAGCACACTTGGATGAAACTGATTATCTGGACCCATTTTAGTCTGGTTTCAGACCTTGTTACGGTACTGAATCTGCCTTGGTCGCCCTGTATGATGACCTGTGCAGGGAGACAGGGGGAGTGCGTCCCTGTTGGTTCTCCTGGACCTCTCAGCGGCTTTCGATACCATCAACCATGGTATCCTTCTGGATAGGCTAGCGGGACTGGGGGTTGGAGGCACTGCCTTGCAGTGGTTCCGCTCCTATCTCAATGGCCGATTCCAGAAGGTGGTGCTGGGGGACTATGGCTCTGCGCCATGGCAGCTATGCCATGGAGTTCCGCAGGGGTCCATTTTGTCCCCCTTGCTATTCAACATCTACATGAAACCGCTGGGAGAGGTCATCAGGAGGTGTGGGCTGCGGAATCATCAGTACACTGATGATACCCAGCTCTACCTCTCGTTTTCCACCAATCCAGGTGAGGCAGTGGCTGTACGGAACCGGTGCCTGGCCGAGGTAATGGGCTGGATGAGGGCCAATAAACTGAAGCTCAATCCAGACAAGACAGAGGTCCTGTTGGTTGGCGGATCGGGCTTCAGGGAAGGGGACCTTGACCTTGTCCTGAATGGGGTTACACTCCCTCTTAAGGACAAGGTCTGCAGCTTGGATTTAGAGCTTTCGCTGGAAGCTCGAGTAACAGCGGTGGCGAGGAGCGCTTTCTTTCAGCTTCAGCTGATTCACCAGCTGCGTCCCTACCTGGAGAACGACTGCCTGGCGACTGTGACACACGCATTGGTAACTTCCTGACTAGACTTCTGTAACGCGCTCTACGTGGGGCTGCCCTTGAAGATGGTCCGGATACTTCACTTGGTGCAAAACAGAGCTGCCAGGTTGCTGACGGGGACTGGGCGTTGCGCTCACATAACTCCAGTCGTCCGTCAGCTTCACTGGCTCCCCATTGAAGTCCGGGCCCAATTCAAGGTGTTGGTTATCACCTATAAAGCCCTTAACGGCTTGAGACCTGGTTACCTAAAGGAGCGCTTACGTCCATATGTGCCCTCCCGCCCCTTGAGATCGGCGGCAGAGTCCCTTCTCCGGGAGCCCTCCATGAAGGACATTAGGAGGGTGAGTACCCGGAGGAGGGCTTTCTCTGCGGTGGCGCCCAATCTATGGAATGTGCTCCCCAGAGAGGTCCACCTGGCGCCATCGTTATTTGCTTTTTGGCACCAGGCCAAGACCTTTTTATTTAAACATCATTTTAATTGTTGATTTTATTTATTGATTTTAACAACTTTGGCCAGGATGTCTCCAACTATATTTTATTGTACCAGTGATATTTATTTATTTGTAAGCTGCCCCGAGGCTTAGGCAAATGGGGCGGCATATAAGCCTACTAAATAAATAATAAAATGTCCACCCTTCTGCCTGTCCCATCATGTTCCTTGGTTTGCTTCTAGGGCTCAGGCTGGCGAACTGTGGGTTAAAAGTGAGAAGGTCACATGTGGCTACATCAGCGAGGACACCCGGGTAAGGTTCTTCTTTAGTGAAGATTTCCTTCTCTCAGTTTTGTTTCTGGGCCTCTGGATCGCTGCTGGTGGACAGCTAGAGCAGTCGGTGGCTCCTGTTGCTCTAAAGCTTCCTGCCTTCACAGAAGCTTTGCTTGTGGCCTTTGTGCCACACCTGCCACGGGACCTCTGTGAGCAGGGGCACCGTGCCCAGATGCGCAACCGGCTCCTGGACAGACTCATCAGGCCTGGCCCTCACCCTGTGTGAACCCCACAGTGCACGCCATGACGGTGCCTGGCATGGGAGGAGCCGCAGCAGCGAACGGACCAACCTTCAGGAGGAGGCGTCCTTGGGTGGGCTGCCTCCTCCGCCTTGCTGCTTCCCTTCTGGCGTGTACCACACGCATGTCACGCTTGCCGTGGCCTCCCACAGCCCTCACGCTAGGCCGCACATAGCAAATCGGCTGGGATGTGCCCGGGGAGTCTCCTGGCTGTCCAGCTCAGTGCCTGCGCCTAGGCAGGAGCTTCTGGGGCGTGTAGTGTGTTGCCAGGCCCTTTCTGGCCTCTTGATGCACAGAGGCTGTCCTGGCTGCTGTGGTGGCTGCCACAGTGGTCCCTTTCTGCGATGAGAGCCCGGGCCGGCCCCTGGCTGGAATCGCTCCTCAGCCCCCCCCCCCGTTGGTCACCAGTGCAAGCCCTGCTGCGACTTGGAGTCCTGGCAGACCCTGCCTGGGGCAAATAGGCACAGGAGGGAGGCCGCGGCAGCCGTGGCTGGCCCAGGGGGCGAGTCAGAGGGCCCCTCCAGGCAAGCAGGAGCCATGGAGGCCAGCATGGACCGTCCCGCTCTTGGCCGCCGCCTCATTCACCCACGTCTCTTGCAGGTGGTGTTCCGCTCAACGTCTGCCATGGTTTATATCTTCATTCAGATGAGCTGTGAAATGTGGGATTTTGACATCTACGGTATGAATGAATTAATAAAGGCTTGCCTAGAGGGCTGCCCCACTCCCTTTTCCACGCGCGGGGTCCAGCGCGACGCGAGCACTCTTCTCCCCCTGCGTGGTGGGTGGGCAGCTTCCTTTTTGTTAGCTTTCTCAAGCAATAGCTTCCATGGATTGTGATTGGTACAAGCTAAATGAGGAAGAGGAGTAGGAGGTAACTGACATAATCTATGCTAGCTTTCCTACAGTTATGTGAACTCAGGCTGGCCTAACGTTTAGCACAGTACAGGATAATGACAGGGTTTGTGGGGGGGGATGGGGAAGGCATGTTGGCGGCGGCGGGCGGCAAGTCCAAAACCTCAGGCGGGCCGGATAAATGGGCATGGTGGGCCAGGTGCGGCCCACGGGCTGTAGTTTGAGGACCCACGTGTCCATGAGATGGTCTACAAAAGTGCTAAATAAAATAAATATCCCCAGGTTTTCCAGGCCTACCTGGAGCCTTCTGAGTCTGAAGCAAGTGTTGTTCACTGAGCAGCTCTTTACTGATTTAGACCATTTATACCTTTCCTTTTGGCTCTAAAGCTTCCAATGTCCCAAGGTGGCTTAGAATCTCAGTGGAAACTATAAAGTCACGATAAAATGTGGACGAGCTGAGCACTGACCCAGTAGCAGGAAGCCAGTGGCAGCCTGGGCTGGGAGCTCTAGCAGCCCAGGCCAAGGCGCCAGGGGGTGCTTGCCTGGAAGTGGCTGCTCTCGGCTGCCCGTTCTGTTGCACCCTATCTCCAGGGCATCACAGCCCCTTCTCTCACCTGCTGACAACTTCCTCACCTAATTGCTTCTCAGTTCATTGCACTTGCACTTGAACTTGTATTGTAGTCCGCTGAAGATTGCAAGTGATGAACGTATGACAGAGCCCTGTGCCAGGGCAGCCCTTGGTGCATCTTGTCCACAACAGTCCGCGGGGAGCTCTTTCCCCACTTTTCTGCCCAGTTCCTTCTAAGTTGGAGAGAACATGTGCTCTGCCACGCAGTTTGGGCCTCTCCCCAGGAAGTTGACAAAGTAGGATCGTTGCTTGCAATATAAATCCCCCCCGCCCATTTCTTCAGAGAATCATAGAGTTGGAAGGGTGCTTGAAGGCCTTGTAGTCCATGCAGTTGCTGTATCCCTGACGGAGGGCTTTCCAGTCGCTATCCGAATACTTCTAGTGGAGGCGGCCCCGTCCCTTCCTGGGGCAGTCTGTTTCACTGCCAAGCAGCTTCTGAGGGTTTGCTGTTATTCCCTTTGCAGGGGACCTTTACTTTGAGAAGGCTGTCAATGGCTTCCTTGCTGATCTTTTCACCAAGTGGAAGGTAACTGTGCAGAAAGGAGGGTCTTGTCTCTTGACCAAGTGCACTGTGACTCTTGCTCATACGAGTGCCTACTTGTGACTAGTATTCGCAGCATTTCTGGTAAAGCAGGGTTTCTCAGCCATGGTTGCAGTGAGTGCTTACAAAGAGTTGAATCTGCCAGAGGGCAAATAAAATGTAGCCAAGATTTCCTAGTACCACCTGCTGTCTGGTTATGGGAGGGCTGGATCCAAAGAACAGAGAAGAACAGGAGACCTGTGAACCTCCTTTAATGCTTCAGGATCCTTGGAGGGAGATTGTGCTAAAGCATAAGTAGTCTGTCTGCTCTTTGAAAAGGTTTTCCGTTTTAGAACAGGGAGTTCCAGCAGTCTCAAGAGAGTATGAATGGAGGGTGCTAATGACGTGTAGTTTTCAGATATATATGGCGCCACAGTAAAGGCACAGTAAAGAGAAGCCTCATCCCTTCTTGGAAGAGGTGGGATTCTGCGTGGAGTGGGATTAAAAGCCAGGTGGCAGCACTTGGTGGCTGCAGTGTTTTCCATTCTGCCCGGCTCCCTCTTGATGCATCCTCTGTTTCATCTCCGTAAGACTAGAGGCAGACGCCACAAGGCGGGCTTTCCCCTGGCCTTCCAGGGAAGAAGGCGCTTGTGATGGCCAGAGCCATCCTGGCCTTGCGCTGGCAGCGTTCCCATGAGGAAGGGCCCGGGAGGTGTTCGATTCCTCTGAAGGGGAGCACATGCCCACTGCTCTGTCCTCCCCTTTGAGAACCGGAGCCAGACAGCTTGGTGAAAGCCGTGCCTGAGGGAGCGTGGCTTGCCAGGGGTGTCCTGCGGGAGGGCATTCTCTGGTGCTGCAGCTCATGGGCTGCAATCTGGCGGCATCTTTACCAGCGTCCTTTTCTGTTGGGCAGGAGAAGAACTGCAGCCATGAAGTGACTGTAATCCTCTTTTCCAGAACGTTCTATGATGCAACGTCCCCCAGTAAGTACCTGCAACAAATGCTCCTCTTCCTACCTGCCCCTGCCCTTTGCCTCGCGCCCTGGATGGTTGGCTCGATGGGGGGTGGAGGCTGCACTCTGGGTGCCCGAACTGGGGACCAAGGCCCCAAGACTGGATCCGGGGCACCTGCAGCAGGGCCGTCAGGGCCTTCCGGTGGAGTTGGCTTGGCCCTCTTTCTCATTTCGGCCCCGTGGCGCGCAGGCAGGGCCTGGGAGCGCTTCGTGGTCTCCTAGGATTTCACGCAGTGTGCCTGTGGAGCCTGACAGACGGAACACGCGACGGCTGCACATAGCGCTGCTCCTCTAAGCCAGCACGCGTGAATAAAAATGCTTCCGTAGAAAAGTCTCGCATGCAGGTTTTGGCTGCCAAGCTGGTTCTTCCCCCTGGGAGTCCCTTGAAACAACAGGCCACGTTGCCCCCGTGCGAGTGGCACAAGCTCCAGCAAAGGGGCACAAGGGCTTGTCCAGGCACCGGGATGGAAAAGCAGAGGGACCCAAACCGTTCAAGCACCGGTCTGCCCGCCAGGCACCAGGCCTGGTAGCTTGTGGGACTGAAGTTGCACTTAATGCCCCTCCCAGCCTGGGGCTCTCCAGAAGTGTTTGGCTCACCTGCCACATCCCCAGTCAGCATGCTTGATGGGCGGAGCTGCTGGAAGCGGCAACCCTCGCATCCTAAGGACCCGGTTCAGTAATGGGCAGCTTGAGACAGAGAATGCAGGTGATTTTTAAGAGAAGGGCTTTGTCTTCAGACCTCATTCTACTCAGGTTATATGCTTAAAGGTGCAAACTGCCGTGAAGAATTGTTAGCGGCCTAAAGCATCATATAAATCTGCTTTATAAACAAAGCACCTTTGTAAACCTGCTCTCATTGACTGCCAAGGATAATAGCCTACAGTCCGTCTGTGAAATCCAGTCTGACCATGATACTGCAATAATACGGAAATAATTTTCAGAATAGATATCAGTTTTATCACAGTGAGAGGTTATGTATTAGTAACTCACCCAGATTTAGCTTAATGAAGATATGAGGTTACTACTTTGAAACCAACCC